GTGGCAGACTTTGCAGTACTTGACTGCTGGAAGGACACGTCGAATGTATGAGGTCCGGCGTAGTCTGTGTTGGATGGGATGGCTGGTGAAGGAGAGAGGGCATCAAAAGTGGAGCTAGGCTGGGCATAAGGTGATGGGGCAGTCACGTTGTTCTGTGCGTGGTCGTTATTGTAGGGGCTGGTCGAGGTTGAGCCTCCGTTCTGAATGTTCTGATCCATGCTGTTCAGGAGCCCCAGGTTTGTATACTGCGACTGTAGACAGATTTTAAAGAAGACGGTGAATGACACTAATATGTGACATTTTATGGGTGTAAGGCAGAATACAGAAAAGATCATTGTCTTGGATTCTAATTTGAATTACTGCTAAATAATCAAGCATTTTTTCCCCCAAAAGATACAAATGGTGCACTTTTATATTCTATTCACAGGAAGCTGGAATACTGCTTGAGATACATTAAAAAACAAATTAAATGTCTCAAATCACCTTCAAAGCTTTGCTTGTTTGGGTTAAATGTTCTGCTAGAAACTAATGTTCTTCTTGTTGAGACCCAATTTTTTTTTAAACTGTATTATTGCATACATAACGTTATTGTGACAGGAGGAATGACTGTAACAATATCAGAGTTGCAACATCGAGGCTCTTCCCTCTTGTTCTACCTGCCTTTCATCCCTTTCCTTTAATAGGTGGCACATTCCTGGAAGAGGTGTTTGGACTCTTGCATTTTAGGAGCCATTAATCACGGCATGGCCTTTTGTTAATGTCAAGCATGTCTGACCACAGCTGTCCAGTGTACACCCAGCACACCACCAGATATTTTAGGTGAACCAGCCAACCAACAAAACACACCTGAGTTTGGCTTTACAACTATTAACAAAGACATTTTAAGCAATGTTGCTGATGAATCCCTCAGTGTGCTCACAAACACACACACACACACACACACACACACACACACACACTGAATCATCAGACAGACACACCTGAGAGGTCATTTGAGTCAACTGCAGCATACTTGTGCATTAGTGCCAGAGGGAAGCCTGCTGTTGGGATGAGGGTCACTGTGTGTGAGGTTTTAGCTGTTTAACCCTCAGCCCCTCTGCCACCCCCACTCTCACATTGGCCCTGTGGTAACACAGCTTATGAGGCTTGTCTGGAGAACAATTGCACTGGTCATGCAGGTGTTAGGAGACAAGTGTTAGTTTAAACAATACACAAAAACAAATGACGACAGTTGAAAAGAAGAAATGAGAACTTTTGCCTACACAATTATTTCTAAGAGTGCGCTTGCATTACACGAGTGTCTGAAAGGATTTAAGTCAGTTAAATAAAATCCAGGGAATGGGGTTTAAATTACTTATAAACTAATAATTACCAAAGCTGAGCAGTTGCATAAGGATTTTTTGTGTCCTTTACAAACTATGAACTATCCAGTCAGCACGACCTCAGTGGGATTCCTCACAACTGTGGCGCCATTTAGAGACAAAACAGCCTCCTCAGCAAAGTGATGCTGGCAGCTGCAAAGGTTAATGTGACAGCCACCAATTATCATCGTCAAATTATTATTCTAAAGAAGAGGTTGATGCTGGCCCAAGACCAAACATAGATAAAAGCAAAGGCATGAAGCTGAATGGCTGACATAGAATACCTTACATTAAATACAGGGCCTTGGATAATGTCTGTCATGGTTGGAATAAAAATAAAGATCAAAGATGAGGAACGGCGGTAAAAAGCCGTAATGGACCAAAGGGTGAGTCTCACCTAAACTCATCACACTTTAAAGTTAAACTGACTGTGAATGGGGAAAAAGTCTAAAAGAATAGATTGTGTACTGCACATTAAGGCCTTCACCCTGGTTCCTGAGACCAGATCTCTTTCCCCTCTAATTCTGCCACCATTTAATACACACTTTAGCTACTCCTAAAAATTCAATCTGTTTATGGCTGAACTGTGATGTCAGGCTAAACCACAAACCAGCCACTGGGTTCTGCGGTGCATCTCGGGCCTTAAACCCATCTTACTTTCAGAGAATGACAACATTTTGTTGACCTTTACTTTGAAAGCCTTCTAAAAGCTCTAAACATTTAAAAATAAATCATACAGATTACACTGTAGATTGCAGAGTTGATTATGCATAACTTATGCGATACTACTTCTGGTAGGATTTTTACCACTTTTGAGTCATTACTGTTCAATAAACAGTGATTCTTTTTCTGTGTAAATAAAAAATGTTCATGAAAAAAAGAAAATCAATGAGACAATAACATGAAATTGAATTGCTGTTGGCCTAAGAACACTGATAAACCCTGAACGACCGCCAGATGACAGGAACCACAGCAGACCTGACCTGAGGGCCAAATATCTCCCATTCCAGGTTTTCCGGTGATCTCGGCCAGCACATTAGAGAATTCGGGGGACTGTGATGAGTGACCACAGGGAAGGGAGGCATTAAAGGCTTCGCAAGGTGGGGGCTTGAGGTGGAGCTGGGAGGGCGGCGGGGGGTCTATCTACCCTTTTTACCTGCTGGGGAGGGCAGAGAAGGTGATTGTATCTACATCAACACACCATTAAAGCAATTACGACCCTGGACTAAACAGCAGCGCCTGGCCAGCCACATTGTAATGGCTGTAGCGGCTCCCTGGAGACTGGAGACGGGGCGGGGGAGGGGAGAAATGGGGAGAACCCGATACCTCGCACGGTGGAAGGATTGAGCTGGACACCACTTAAAGACCACTGCTCAACAACTTAAAAGACAGTGACCTGACGTACCTGCTATCTGCAACCTGCAATCTGATAATCTGTCACCGCTCTGTTACTTGGCGTTAGGTTTGCGTTGAGGTCTCGGTTGAAAAGAACAAAAGTCAACCAACTAAAACCGCCAATGACAAGCCATACCTTAAGTATCTTACACCTTCCATTTACACAATGAAAACTATATGGCCAACTGATCAGAAAATAGTGTTGTCGTTAAGTTCTTTTTTTTTTTTACTGAAAGTTGTTTTTTATGGGAAAAAATATATAGTTCTTAACCAATTTGTTAAAGAAAGCTATGTTAATTGCTCCTATACAAATAGCTATTAATCATGACTCCACATAGACATTTTCAAGTGTTTACCAATGAGCTTTGCGAACAAATACAAATCACATCCACATTCATAAATCACAGCGCTTGCACTTTCATTGTGGGGAAAAAGGTCATTTATCTGTGTTCACCTGAAATATGTATTTTTTTTATTAAGATCAATACATTTAAGATTCTATTTTCTTTTAAATTGAACCCCTGCACATCTAGAATTAAAAAAAGAAAAACACTGGGGTGAGTCGTTAAAAAAAAAAACCCTACATGAGACTTTGTCTTGTTTGGATTCCATGTAACCTAAAAAGACGCCACTCTCTTAATAGGACCAGCTTTTTTAACCACATCGAACAGCTGACCAACGACAACACAAAGCCACAATTATAACACAATATAATAAAAACACAAAGAAGATCTTGTTTCCAGCAGGATGTTTTAGAAGGAGGACTTGATTTAAAAAGTCCAACCTCATCTCTCTTGACAAAGACACGGTAAAATATTTTCCGTGTCAGATTTGCGATTCTTGATTTATTTTAAGCAAGGTTAATCTGGAATTATTTTAACTCTCTATTTGACTATAGTTCCATCAGTTGAGTTGAGAAATCAACTCAAGGACAGCTGCGGTGGCAGATGCGTCACAACCAGCCCCTGTGCTGGTCTTACCTCGCTGTAGGATGTGGCGGTCCCTGTCTCCAGGTACAACATGTTTGCGCTGAGATTGAGCAGAGCTGCTGCTGTTTGCTCCACTGGCTCCAGGATTCCACAAATCGCTTTTACTCACTCTTAGCGGGTGATGTGGACTACAAATGCAAAGTGGACAAGTAGAGGCTTCTATAGGAATCTATGGGAATGTCATATATACCTGGAAGAGAGGGGAGGGGTCTAAGGGCCGACCTGTTCAATACCTGAATCCACACCCATCTCCTGAAGGAGACTTCTCATGGAGCTCTTCTGAGCTCCGCTACCTGGGTAGTTATACAAATAAACAACTAAGTAACTAAGTTTGACATTAAGCCCAGAAAATTTTATATTTACATTTCTTGATTTTCTCAAACCTTTGGACTATAAAAAATCATGACATCCAAAAAAAAAAAAAAAAAAGGTTTATCTCTCAACATTCTCATTTAATGTGGGTACTCACATACTGTCTACCTTCACAATATCATTAAAAATAAGCCACAACTTACACATCGCTTATTCAAAAACTTTAAAAGCAGACAGACTGGATTACAACAGTAAAAAAGTCACGAAAAAATACAGTTAAGCCAATTAAAGAAGGCAGTCAACCTAATGTCACTCATTGTCAAATCACCTAACACAAATGCAGAAAAGCCCTTGTTAATTTCACTACTAATCAAAAAGCAGTCACCTTAATGACACAATGTTTTTAGCAGAGGTGAGAATTCTGACACCAGACATCTGTGGAGCCCCACAGAAATGAAAGTGATGGTGCTGAGTAAGGACAGCAAGAGCTTCAACTTAGGTAGCTCCTTAGCATATGAATGTCTCCCCTCTGCAGCTATCAGGCTATCATAATTCAACCCCCCCTCACCTCCCCCCCTCCCCCCCGACCTCTCCAGACAAACAATGCGGCTCCTGTAGATCGTATGTATCTATCAGAGAGGACTGATGTAGATCTGTTTTGGAAACATACAAACATTTTCTCACACATGCTGTAAAGGCGATAGTGCTGCAAAGACACCAACACAGAAATATTTAAATAAAACCAACCTGCAAATTAAGCTAGGTTAAAATATCTATTTAACTGAAAATATGTAAAAAAAAAAAAAAAACCTATTTCATGTTCAAAACAACTCTAAGGCCACGGTACTCATTAATATCGTAAAAAAAATGGAAATATAATATACAGTGGAAGATGTTGCTAAGCTGCACGGCCCTGACAAGGGAGTGGTCTGAATGGTCAGCAGAGTGCAAATAATGTCTATAACTGCGACGCTGCAGGGCTTAAGGTTTTGCCCTGTGGTCGGAACAATTTAAAAGCTGTCTAAATGAAGTGAAGGTAGTGGCTCCAATCAACAGCCACACCCGGTGCAGGCCCCAGGGCTGCAGGTCAGCCTGTCACAAAAGGCAAATGAACACTTAAAAGAAGCTATTCTTTAGCCTCACAGCAAAGCCAGGCTTCATGAAGACCCAGCCAAACCTTCTGAAGGTGATAAT